GATTGCAGCATTGGGAAAGCACACTGAGGTGTGTCAAAGGAAAAACGTACCGTCTGTGTCAGGGGAAAGAAGATAAGAGCCACAGTTGACACTGGCTGTGCCCAGACTTTAATTAGAGGAGATCTAGCTCCTTGAGTTTGGGCACCGAGTGCAAGTACGGTAAAGATGACTTGCATGCATGGACAGCCGTCAGTGTATCCACACAAAAAAAAAATGTGGTAGAAATCTTAGATGCTTCAAGGGAGATGCTAGGGGGCTTAGCCAAAGATCTACCTCACCCAATGATATTGAGCAGAGACTGAAATGAAATCTATAATGTATTAGATACAGTGAGAAGGCAAGAAACCAAACTAGAAGGTTTAACGGTGAAAGACAGCGAGGTTTACACCGAACCCGTTGGATTGGATTTGGAGAGTTTAGCAAACAACTCCTGTTTTTGACAGGCTCAATAAAGGGAAGACCTGTTTCAATCAGTAATGCAGACTGAGGTGGCCAAGCAAGGCAATCAGGTAATATGCCCAGAGTGGTGTCACGCACTACCCAGATATGAACTAAGAATAGGCCTGCTGTATAGAATAAAGTCAGGCCGAATAGAGGGAACAGAGGTACCACAATTGTGTTAATACCTTAAGTGTACTGGAAGTCTCTCTTGAAGCTAGCTCATACGAACCCATTAGGAGGACACATTGGTAGAGCTAAAACAGAGGCCAGGTTAACTAAATGGTGCTTCTGGCCAGGACTGTATGAACAAATGGAAGATTACTGTAGGACCTGTCTGAGCTGCCAGAGGGTCAGCCTTCAAAAACCCCCGTGAGCTCCCTTACAATCCATGCCAGTGATAGAAGAACCATTCTCCTGCATAGCATTAGATGTTGTTGGACCGTTACCCAAAAGTTTGACCAGTTACCAATTTGTATTAGTTCTGATAGATTATGCCACTAGGTTCCCAGAAGCCGTCCCATTGAGAATGGTTACCAGACCCTGAATAGCAGAGGAATTGATCAAGTGGATGTCCCAATTCGGCATCCCCAAAGAAATAATTACAGACCAAGGGACAAATTTTATGTTCTATGTTATGTGGAGTCTGTGCCAGATATTAAAAATAAAACACCTACGAACTGCGCTGTATCATCCCCAAACCAATGGGTTAGTAGAAAGATTTAACAGGACTCTCGAGAATATGATGCGCGGATGTATGCAAGAAGAGCCATGAAAGTAGGACTTAGTGATACACCACCCCTCCTGTTTGCAGTGTGGGAAGCCCTACAGTTGTCATTAGGGTTTTCCCCATTTGAGATGGTTTATGGACATCAACCTCAGAGTGATGGATGTAGTCCAAGAAGGATGGGAATAGGGAGGAACCCCAGGGACGAGACCATCAGAATATGTCACGGAATTCAGGGCATGGCTACAAAAAGCAGGAGAGTTAGCCCAAGATAATCTCGGGCAAGCTCAAGAGAAACAAAAAAAAAACAAATTATGACAAAAGCACACACGAGAGGGAACTACGGGAAGGACAAAAGGTGTTGGTTCTCCTCCCTAATACCGCAACTAAGTTCTTAATTCATTGGCAAGGTCCATTCACGATAGTTAGGCGTGTTCGACCAGTCGATTATGAGGTCCTTCACCCTGGACAGAAAAAAGAAAAACATTTTTCATGTCAATTTATTAAAACCATGGAACGAACCAGGTTTGTTTTCTTATATCATGAGAGATCAGGAAGAATATGAGGGGGCAACGACTAAGGCCCAAGAAGAACAAGAAACAAGTAAAGAAGTATGTCTAGGAGGTCAATTGACTGTGGAATGAATAAAAAGAACAATTAAAGCTAATACGGGAATTTAGAGATGCATTTAATGAGAACCCCAGCTGTGTGACAGGAATAAGTCATAACATTGTCACTCCTCAGGGAAAAGTGGTCAGGGAAAGATGGTGAAGGGTACCTTATAGATACAAGGTAATAAAGGCGGAAATGGACAAAATGCTATCACAAGGAGTAATAACAGAATCCCATAGTCCTTGGCAAAGCCCATTGGTGATCTTACCTAAACAGGATGGGTCCCTGTGAGTGTTGTTTTTCGAAAATTGAATGCAATTTCAAAATTTGATGTTTTTCGCATGCCACAAATCAGCGAACTATTGGAGAGAGTGGGACAAGCCAAATTCATATCCACGTTGGATTTAACAAAAGGTTATTGGCAAATACCTGTACATAAAGAAGACCACGCAAAAACTGCTTTTGGCACACCGTGGGGTTTGTACGACTTCAAACGAATGCTGTTTGGCCTACGTGGAGCTGCAGCAACTTTTCAAAGACTCATTGATTGGGTCCTAGCACCTCACCAAAGGTACGCTGCAGCCTACATTGAAGATATTACATGCTGATGAATGGGAACAACATTTAAAAGCTCTGTGGGCGGTTCTTCAAGAGCCCAGCAAACCGGTCTAACAGCAAATCCAGGGAAATGTGCCTTAAGCAAGGCAGAAACTAAATACCTTGGTTTCATGGTAGGACAAGGATGTATTTGTCCTTTAATAGACAAAGTAGAAGCTATATCAGATTACTCACCTCCTCAAACAAGAAAACAAATGCATGCTTTCCTTGGATTAGTTAGTTATCATAGGTTCATCCCACATTTTGCAGAAATAATAACTCCTTTAACAGACCAACTGAAAGGATGTGGCAGTGGGCCTATAAAATGGGATGAGGAACATTTAGAAGCCTTTAATGATACTCAACAAGCCTTATGTAACAACGTTATCCTTCATACACCCGATTTTTCACGTCCTTTCATCTTACAGACTGATGCCTCTAATTACGCCGTGGGCGCAGTGTTAACTCTGGAAGTAGAAGGGATAGAACATCCAATTGCCTACACTAGCTGGAAACTTAACCCCCAGGAACAGAGGTATGCCACTATCAAACAGGAATGCCTAGCAATAAAAAGGGAGTGGAATATTTTCGATACTATCTTTTGGTCTGTAAGTTCACTTTAATTACTGATCATGCGCCATTGAAGTGGTTAAAAACCGCTCAAACGGATAATACCCAGATCATGTGGTGGGCTCTTGCCTTGCAGCCCTTCCATTTTGATATTGAATTCAGGCCTGGACATTCAAACATCATTGCTGACTTCCTATCACAATGTCATCTGGATAATCAATCACGAGAAGTATTAAACACCCATGAGGGTAACGTACCCTGTTCATCCCAAAGACCTGGACAAATAACGGCGTCTAGCAGCGTCTTAAGGGGAAAGCTGTGTGGAGCAGCGAGCGCAGGCACGGGAGGAAAAAACCAAGCACGCTGCTTCTGGAGCCGTTACCATATAAGGATAGAAGCTCTGAGAGACCAACAGAGCAGTGGGACACGAGGTCCAATGGAGGGAAGAGAGGAAGAGAGAGAAAAGGGGAACGGAACAAAGGAGGATTCCCCAGAGCATCTATCGAGGGAGCACAATCAGTTCCAAGTGTGCCAGGAGGGAAGGGAGCGAGGGGTGGATCCCTGAAGAAACTCCGAAGGACGCAGGACATACTTCTGTAGTAGTAGGGAAAAAAAGGGGATTAGTGTTAAAACTCTTTCTACGCTAGAGACTGGTTTGGCTGATGTTCCAAGAGGAGTCAGGACTATCAGCTAAAGATAGGGCTGACTGTGGGTGCCATTACTACTAAAGATGAAAGGATTTCATGTAGAGGGATATGAAGCTATAAGACCTCTCTTAATATAAAAAAAAATTGAACGAAATAAAGGAAACGAGAAGATTCAAAGAGAGAGTCCGTTTATGAATACTAAGTTTAGTTCATTTGTGTTGGCTGTTTACGGTTAAAGTCATAGTTTCATAGTTTCATAGATTTAGGGTCGGA